TTTGCCTGTTTCCTGTGGAAAAACTTCTCCATCACTTTGTAAATGTTGTTTATTAACACACAAGCCATCTACACCTCAAAATCGGACTTCATGTAACTTTGGAGGTGTCAACGCTGTGCCCTGAGATCTCTCAAAGTAACCCCTGTCAGTACTGGAAGAAGCTCTCCCATGAGCTCGCTGGTGTCAGGAACCTGAGGCCAGCCTCCCAGGTAGGTCTGTATGGGACTGCTCCACCACATGCAACTCCTGCAGCTGCTGCAAGTCACTCCATGCCTCGAGGGCAAAAAATCTAAATCAGGCTCTTTTGAAGAGATTCTCCATATAGTTCCCACCTGCCCTCTGAGTCTTGGCACTGCATCGCATCACAGGTGTGAGCTGAATAGTGTCTATCGGACGAAGTTGAAGCAGAAAGCGCACCCTAGAAGAACAACTTGTATGTTTCAGTCAGCCGCTAACTGGCATTCAGTCCACAGGACCAAGTGTGGTATAAACCTCTCCCACCACGCAGTGAATGTGGTCACCAGGCTCTCTGCACCTGCTGTTTCTCTTTGCAGACCTGCTCCTGCTGATCAGTGCTGCTTAGCTAATGCAGGCACAGCCCATGAGGTCCCACCTGGCTGTGCTGTATGCTGCTCTGGCAGGCACACCTGTGCACGCTTGGTGAGGGAGTAGCAATAGCAATATTCAGCACGTCCTGCTGATGTCTGTTCACTCTGACAGCTAAAGTGGAGCCAATAATGGTACTTGCGGCAGGCACAAATTATCTGTTGTGATGTATACAAAGAGCATGCCCCCGTTCTTCGCAAACGATCCATGGACTACCCCCTGCTCCTTCACGCAGAGAGAAGTCTGCCCCATCAGGTCACAAGGATGAGGAGGAGGGTGCATTGAGTCACTGTGCAGCATCTCTCCCCAAGCAGAAGTCGTTCCGGGTGTCCGCTCCTCCTGAAAGCAGGGATACTCAGTTTTATGGTGATTTCACTGCGTCTTCCACTACGCGTATTTTTTGCCTCAAACAAGCCAACTCTCAGTTGTGTGGAAGCCCAGAGTGCTTTTTAATGGCATCTTTAGTATTCGTAGCACGGGGGAAAACCGTCAGCTCTCCGGCTCAGAAGCCAGGGGGCACACGGCAAGGCAGCAGGCTAAAGCGTACCGGCCCGCACCTTCGCCACCCGC